GAACACCTACTGTGTGCAGGGATGTAAGGGAAGATGTAAGCGGTGCCTACCTAGTGGAGATGGGAATGAAGGTGTAATCCATTGAAAATTATTAGTGCGTACTAACGGTAAAAGGTGCAATTACCTATGCCACGCACTTGACAAACGGAGGCAGTTGTCATTTGTGTCCTTATTTAATAAAAGAACTTCTTGAGTGCCTACTGTGTGTTAGGCATTATCCCGGGTGCTGGGGCTACAGCAGCTGGCACCCCTTTGGGTGAATAATTACTGTATCATTATCCTCAGGCAAGACAGGTTTCCCCACACATGGTTGAATAACACGCCCGTCTGCTGTGGTCTGCCCCCTCGGGAGCTCCAAAGTGGAGTGTGGGATTCTAGAATGTTCTTAGGTCTAATCCTCAGGGCAGCTTATGGGCTCATTTTGGCCTGATTGGCGGGCACCCTGGCTGGTAGCTCATACCCCTGGCGCAGACCCAGCCTCCACGTGGGGCTGGGGAAGATGAGCCGTGACTCAGCCTGCCTGACTTGTCAGGTGCAGACAAGAAGGGAGCAGGCAGCTGGCTGGGCCGTGGGCCATGAGGCCTCCGGAGCCAGGTCCCGAGGCAGGTGACGGGGTAGGAGGCAGAGACCTAGAGTCGACAAAGTGCTGAGCTCAGACGGCTGACCGTGAGGTCACTAGCAAACTCACTAGGATACTGTGGTGAGAATCACGAGGCGGGGTGCCTGATAAGCGGGTGAGCTCTGCCCAGCTACCTAGTCCAGAAACTGGGAGAGACTCTGACAAGCTGGTTGACTTCTGTCTTCCTCTGGAATTGATCTTGGGCATCACCAACTGATAACATCTTCAGAGATGTCTCCCCCACCCATGCACGCACTGGGCAGGTGCCTCAATGCCTCTCTCGGGCGAGCCCCAAGTCAGAGCTCTATTTTTGTCTCTTCCCCACAGCACCCTAGGCCTGGCACATAGTAGCTGTTCAGCAAATGCCTACTGCTAAAAGCAGCCTGTTGAAACCTTTCCTTCCAGTGTTCCCTTCTAGTTCGAAGCAAGTGTGACGCAGGTGAGAGAGGTTGCCCTGTTATTCACACACTTGTTCTCAGTTCAACAGAATTGGGCAGTGGGCCTCAACCCTGGTGGTGAAACCCCTCTGGGACTCCACACTTACACAATGCAGCCCCCCCGCATGCTGGTGTGTGTGTGTGTGCGTGTGCATGAGCGTGTGTCCCTGGAGATGGGGCTATGGGTTGCTGGGAGCTGCCTGACTAGGTGCAGGGAACTGAGCTTCGGTCCTCCAGAAAATCAGCCAGTGCTCTTAACCATTGAGCTATCTCTCCAGCCCCATGATGGCTATTTTGCTTGTGTTTGGGTTATTTTTAATTTTATTTTACTTTTTTTTTTTGAGATGGGGGCTCATGTAGCCCAGGACGTCCTCCAGTTTGCTTTATGGCCAAGGTGACCTTGAACTTCCACTCCCCCTCCTGAGAGCTGCGTGCATGGCCACAGTGGCTTTAGGGTTGCACTTTTCACTAGGTAATCGCTCCAGGTATTAATGATAGCCATGGTGACAGCCTTGGCCCCGCATCCACATAGGTGGAGGCACTTACCAGTCGCTTCCATTTCCATATTGAGAGGAAGAATCTGAGAGTAGAAGCTGCTTGCTCCAAGCCCAGGTTCCCCAACCTCGTGGTGTGCTGGGCAGGTGGAGCCTGGACACTCCACTCCAAGGCTAGCTGCAAGGACCGTAGCGAGGGGGCCAGGGATGCGTATCGGCCGCCTGAACTCTCATCTGTTACTCTGTTGGTTCTGATCTGAGTCTCCAGCAGAGTGAGGGCGATTCTGTTATGTACCCCAGCCAAGACACACCCAGAACCATTCCAAAGGGGTAAAGCAGGTGAAATTAGTCAAAGATGGATCAGGAGAGCAGCACACCCATGACAACTGCTTTCTGGAGACTAAGGCAGGAGGGTGCAGAGTTTGGGGCCAGCCTGGGCTACAGAGCTCCAGAGGGCTGGTGTGGGTTACAGAGTGAGAGAGCCTACATGGAAAAAAATAAAAAGATAAATAAATAAATTATGGCAATGTACTTTAACTCAGTATCAAAAAATGCTTGAGCCAAAATGTAATCAGTACAATAATTAGCAACAAATTATTTTATTTGTTTGTTCTATTTTATTTTGTCTTTGATACAGGGTTTTAACTATGCAATCCAGGCTGGTATGGAACGCACAGAGACCCATCTGCTTCTGCTTCTGGAGTGCTGGAAATAAAGGCACACACCACAGTTCATGGCATTATCATTTTTTATGAAAGTCTCATATGGCCAGGGATGGCTTCCAAATATATGTGGACACAGATAACATGTATGAAGTAATACAATCTAGAAAGTGCTCATGGCTGAAGGAATAAGCAGAGGAGGCTGTCCTTCACTCCATGGTCAGGTGGCCCTGAACCCAGGGACACTAGGGTGGCATATGTACTGTCATTTCTGATACCTTATCTCTCCCTCCCAAAACTAGCACACTGGGTCAGGTGGCCAGGGGACACTCAGTGTCCTGCTGAGATACAGGCTTTCTCTCCTGGCCATCATATGTTCCTACTTATTGTAGGTTCTGAGTATGACTGCAGTTTGGGTTTTAGGAGAAAGAATACTGGGCACTGAATTGGGATCCTGTGTGACCTTCATCAAGTCACCCCACCTTTCTGGGCTCTGCACAGTGCCATGATCATCAAAGGGGACCAACCATGGCAAAAGGCTCTATGACTGAGACTTACAGGGTTTGGCTAGGTAGCCTTATAGTGGCTTTCCTGGAAAGTTTCCCACATTCACTCACACATTTCCCAAGAGTGAGTGACTCATTCTCGCCCTGGAAACCAGAGACTTAGGACTTGGAACTGGTCAGAACCAGAGTTCTGGGGGCCCAAACATGACTTGGTCACAACAGCTTGAATGCCCTTGCATCTTAATTTCCTCAGATGTAAGTTGTAAGTTGGGGATGGCCCCATTCTGGTCTGAAGCAGTGCTATTCAGTGGGACTTGGTCCCAGGGTAGCAAGTGATTGTCTAACTTCAGAATGTTATTGAAGGGGTTAGGTATGAATGACTGGCAGGCACACAGCAGTCATTTATTATCTGGTGACCAGCTTCTTGGCTAGTGGATCTAGGAATATGGTTAGCAGAAGTTGCCCAGTATCCTCAGCACAATGCTGACAGTGACCGAGGACATTTCTAAGGCAAGAGCAGGCAGTACCATATGAAAGAGTAAGAGGATACTGCCCCACGTGCCTTGGAACAATAGTTTGTGCTTTGTTCAGAATGGAAAGCCATAGCATCCTCCAAACACTTCATAGAGGCTGTAGAAGAGCCTGCCTGTGGAGTAGGGAATAGGGTTCCCTGAATTGCACATAGCTCTGGTTCTACCTCAAAAGCAGTGGCTGAAGACTGCAGCTTTGGAGCTGGGGTGGAGACAGGGTATCCCCTGAACAAGCTGGCTGGCCACACTAGCTAAATGGACAAACTTCAGGCTCAGTGGGACACCCTGCCTCAAAAAAATGGAGAAAGATTAAGGAAGACATTCAGACACTCAGTGTCAACATCTGGCCTACACACACGTGTGCGTTTCTGCCATGTCCGTGAGCATGACCATGGGGACTGCTATGTCCACACCACATTCATCTTTCCAGAGAAGACATCTGTGGCTCCCCAGGTGGACGATGTCAGCCTGCACCGGGGTGGACTTTGCAAGCACTCCGTGAAAGGCTGGGCTGTCTGACCAGACCTGGCCAGTGGATTATTGGTGGCTGCAGTTGGAAGCAATATTTTTGTGTTTTCTGGTCTGGCTCTCGTGTCTGCATGAACACATATGGCATGACCTTTGATCTGACCTTGAACCTGACCAGAAGCCTCAAAAGAGCCTATTAGAAGAGCCCAACCTAGACTCACAGCCTCAGGTGCATGAAGATAAACTCCCATTGTTGTAAGCTGTAGAGTAAGGCATGTATTTTGTTACACAGCATCCTCTGCAGAGTTAGTAGCCACTGTTACCTCCTCAGGCTTCCTTCCATACAACAGACAGCATTCAGACCTGGAGTGACAGCAGTAGATGCAGTAATTCTCAAATTCTTTATTGGCATAAATAACGCAGACATTGGATTCTCACTACACATTGCACTAAACACAAGAAACAGCAGGCTTGCTGGCTCATAGGCTCACACACTGTCCAACAGCCCGGGTTAGAAATACTTTTTTGAGAAGTGTAGAAAACTTTATAAATGATCTGTACAAATATACACAGTGGACCATCCACCCACCCATCTGCCAATCTATCCACCCATCCATCCAGCTACCTACCCACCCGCCTATCCACCCACCCACTCACCCACCCTGTCATCCAACCATCAGTCTACCCATCCATCCATCCTCCATCCATCCACTCAGCCATCCATCTACCCCCTCCCCATCTACCTACACACTCACCCATTCATCTACCTACTCACCCATCCACAGTCCATCAATCTAACCATTCAACCACTCATCTACCGATCCACCAACCATCCATCCGTCCACCTACATACCCATCCATCCATCCATTGTTCTATTCATTCACTCTCCTGTCCTTCCACCCACTTACTTATCCATCCACTCACCTATCCATATATCCACCAATACATCCACCCATTCACCTACCCACCCACCCACCCACCCATCCATCCATCCATCCATCCATCCATCCATCCATCCATCCATCCATCCATCCACTCACCCATCCATCCGTCTACCCATCCACCCATTCTGCTTGTTTTCTTGGATGGCATCTAAATCAAATATTCTTTCCCAGAAACATGTTGGCAACAAGTGAAAGAGACAGAGAAAAAAGACAGTTCTACAAAGGGGAAAAGACAGTGGTCCAGAAGGAAATGGGGAACCAAGGTCATACATCAGCTCATTCTGCAACAGTCAGTACAGACAGACATAGAGAAAACAGTGTGGGCCTGAGGTCCGCAAGGGCTGTACAAGAATCAGTCTTTATATATATGTACACATATATAATATATATAGCATTTATAGGTATATATACTTTGTGTTTAGAAAAAGGCAACAGAATAATTTACAAAGAAAGCCTTTTTTTTTTTACAGTGAGGGATTTCCCTCAGGTTGGTGACTTGGAGAGCTATCCACCATGTTGAGACATGTGACAGAAGGGCCTATGGAACAGACCACCAAGAAAAGATAAAAAATCAGGGATGTAGGAACAACAGGTCTGGAGCGGGAAAGTGGGCTGCAGAGCCTGAACTGCCATGGCAAGGCTGCTCGCCTGTGGAGCCAGATTTGTATGCCTCCAATGACAGCCTTGGCTTTAACCTCGGGGCTATGGAACAGGAGGAAAAGTTTCCTGCTTCTACACAGGCCTTGGTGGTCAGGGGATGATCTTTCTGATAGGCTGACAACCCCCTGGACCTGGAAGCTGTTCCTTAGGAGACCTGGCTATCCTTGTTCACAGTCCCCAGGCCATCAGCATCTACATGGGTGGGAGACACTCACCACCTCTCTGTTCCAGCTGCACGCACCCAGGGATGTCCTGAGAGGTGCACTTTGGGGTGAGGGATTCAGCTGGGTGTCAAGATGCCGGAGACTGTTTATTAATGTCGGCAAAGATTAAGGGCTAAGGGCTTGGCAAAGCTGAGAAAGTCCAAAGTACGCTCCGGCAGAGCCAAGGACACTGAGAACTTGCTGAGGCCGTGGTCAGCCAGAGGAAGCAGGGAGAGAATTGTGAGTTGAATCAAGTTGAAGCAGGTCTGAGAGCCCCATTTATTTACAGCCCCGCCCCCAGGGAGTTCTTTAGTTGGCCAAGGTGCTGTTTTCCATGCCTCAAGCCCACATAGATACTTACAGGAATAGAAGAAACCCCACCCTACCAACAAAGCTAATGCATTATCTCCTACACTTTAGGCCCCATTACAGACTCAGTCTGGGACTCTGTGTGACCCCTGGGCTATTGTCAGCCTCTTCAACAGCAAATCAGCATTTCGCCCAGCACATTTATTATTTTTCTGTGTTATTATGCAGGCTGTGGGGGGTCTTCCCAACAACACGTCTCTATGTCCCTGTGTGTCTTTGATGTCCATACTCCAGTGTCCTTGCATACATGAAACGCAATGTCCAGAGAGAGACCATGGAGAAACTATCAGTGGTGGGGCTTTCTAGTGTGTCCATAGGGGTGTGTTGGTCAGGGGGGCTGACACGTCAGGGCGCTGGATGAGAGGTGGCAGGAGAGCATGATGAAGAAGCTGCAGCAGACAAGAGCAGGCTCTAAGGAGAAGGGTTGGTGACTGGCCCGTGTACAGCAGAGACACCCGTGGATATTCAATGTCCCACCCTGAGCAGGGTGAGGATGGGGGTTGCTGACCCTCGGGGAACAGAGTCCCAGTGACCCAACTTCTTTCCCAGGAGACATTCGGTGGCCACGTATGTCAAATTCCAAAGTGCTCGCCAAACTCCATTCTCTTGCAATGCCCACTTCCCCCCCCCCCCACACCCCCATCTCCTCCTCCAGTTCTGGATCTGATTAGAGGCATGGTACAGAGAGCTCCTATCGTTCACAGCCAGATCAGGGACAGAGCAGTCACATTCTATCACTATGTTTAGTGACTGTTTCTCCACCAAGGACAGGAGGATCAAGGGTTCGAGGCTAGCCTGGGCTACAACAGGAACCCAAGAATTGACTGGGTCCAAGGTCAATAGCACCAAGATTGATAGACTTCTAATTGGGCCAGCCCGACCTTCCTGCCTCCTCCTCTTCCTTCGGACCTCAGCTTCACCTCCGTACATGGGCCACTGCCCATGCCTATTTATGGCCCCTGTGAGTTCTCCCACCCTTCTGTGCACCACAGACGTCTATTTTCATGATCGGTTGTTTCTTGAGCATTGCCCAACACTGGGTAGTCACCTCCTGCATCCCCGGACCTAGCATTTCTCATATCCTGGCACTTGCAGTAGGTTATGAAGATAAATCAAGGCATTTTAAGACAAGAAGAAATAGCCAAGCTGGGATTTTTCCTTTTAAGTACTAGAAAAGAAAAGCTAAGCACTGGTTTGAACCATCAGACTTTCAGATCCAAGGATCCACAATGCAAATTTCACATAGCCATAGAAGGGAGGTGCTCGACAGATGTCACTTAAGTACATGATGGCTACTTTTCATTCTTCCTCAGCACATGGGCAAGAGATGGGATGGGGCAGGAGATGAAGAGGTGGTCAGTACAAGGTCCTATTGGTCACCGAATTGATTATCAGACAAGAGACTAAAAAGCAGTTAGGGTCAGATCCCTTTATCTCAACACCTTACACCACGTACCCCACCTTCCCTGGCTGAACTTTGGAATTCCTCCCTGCTTCCAGGCCCGCCACCTTGCGTGCAGCCATCTTTTTCAGGTGTTCATCTTTGGGGCTACCCAGCCCAGCTGTCCTGTGGTGGGGAAGCTGCCCCTGAGAATAAGTGACTCTCTCCAAGCAGCAAGCAGTTTTCTTATGGTTACCAGGAAAGAATCCTTTCCCAGCTCACCAAATTCCCTAGTTGGAAAATAACTCCTGTACAGTTCCAGGCAGATTGTATCCACTAAGGAGAGCCTGGGTGACTGGTTTCTAGAAAAGTGTGAGGCATGAGTCCTAAAGCCACCACTGGTTGTTAGAAGAGGCTTTCTGGGGGACCTTTCTTCCCTTCTCAGCATGTGTAGTCTAGTACTCTATGACTGCAGTTGGAAGGTGTGCTGAGATTGATTAGCAATGTCTGTTAGGGGTAGAGGAAGGGGCACCAGTGGCAGGAATGTCATACATTTACTCTCCTTGGTCTAGATCTTCATTCTTCTAGATCTTTTATACACAGATCTTTCTAGACTCTCATCCTAATGACCTTCTTGGTGCTTCTACATTGCCCACTCTCGCCATCCACGTGCTGAAGTCTATGACTATGGAGACTCAAGGATGGGACGTGTCTGTCATGAGTAGGATTGAGAAGTAGCCCGGGGATTCTGGGAAATCTGTATCTGGAGGAGCCAGGGTTTTCCACAAAGGAGCCAAGATGACACCTGCACACATAGGATGGTTGCTGAGAGAGTGCTAGGGTTTGAGTCATGTCCCAGGGTCTCAGAACGGGCCCTGATTTGAAAAATGCTCAGGAAGGTGTGTTACTTCAGATGAGGTCACACTCTAGTAAACAGATACGATGGGTAATCTTGATTGTCAACTTAATGGAATTAAGAAATGCTTCTCAAGAGATCGAGGAAGTACCTCTGGGTGTCTGTGATGAAGTTTCTGGAGACAGTTCAATATCTCCGACCTAACCTACAATACAATGAGTCCCTGGATGGATTCACAATGCAATACTCAAAGGCAGGAGGTGGGTCCTTGCTGGAGGATGTAGGCCAGTGTGGACACATCTCACCCTGACCTTCCCTGTATTGCTCTCTCCTCTCTCTCTCTCTCTCTCTCTCTCTCTCTCTCTCTCTCTCTCTCTCTCTCTCTCTCTCTCTCTCTCTCTAATTGCCATTAAGGACCCCCTCCTCTCCCTCTTCCTCACCTTCACACCATCATTCTGCCTCAAGACAGGCCAACAAACAAAGAGCCAGGCAGCTACAGACTGAGCCTTCTGAAACCGAGAGCCAAAATATATGATTCCTCTCCTATACTGTTGCTCTCAGGTTTTGGGTTAGAGTTATAAGAAAAATGACTCACACACAGTGTCCTGATTCAACAAGACTGAGTCCACATAAAAAGAGTCACACAAAGACAGAGATGCAAAGAGATCGGTGAGGCTGGTAAAGACAAAGGTAGAGATTGGAGGAATACTCCCACAAGACAAGGAATGCTGGAGTTTATCAGATACCATCACACGTCAGAAAGCAACAAGGAAATTGACAAATTCCAGAGCAGGTGGGTCATTCGGACAGTTTGCTTTGGACTTTGGATCTACAGGATGGTGAAAAGCCTCTTGATGTGGGGTAGTTTGTCACAGAAGCCAACACAGGGTCAAAGGGGGGCTTGGCTTTACCAGGATCACTCTTGCAACAAGATCAGTCCCCAGGAGAGTGGGTGGCTGTGAAGAAGACTGGCAAGGCATGAGGACAGGAAGGGCCTGTTTGGGGACTCAAGCTTGCGGCCAGCGTGGGAATGAAAAGCCCATGATGGGAAGAATGCAGATATGGAAAACCCATGGCATAGTCACCTCCAGGGTCTTGGTACAGAATGAAGGATGACTTCACACAACGCTCATGTTGAGTTTTCCCCCAACATCTACTGTTGATGCCTTCAGTGTCACACCCACAGAAAGAATCTTTGAAGAGGTCAGGGGGTGAGGCCCCCAAGGACAAATGTGGTGTTCTTAGTATTTGTAGAAGAAAAAGACACCAGAGACAAGAGTTTGCAAGAAGGCTTGGCAGAGACCACCCCAGACCTGGGAGAAATGTGTATCTGTTGTTTAAGCTAACCTGCATCCAAGGCAGCCTTCAAGTCTAGCTAGCCATGCATCCTACACTTTTGATGCCAAAACATGGTATTGCTATCTACAAACTTCATACTCTTAAAGAAAGAGAAAACACCAAACAACATAAAACAAAACAAAGTCCCTTAATGTTTTAAATCAGTTTCCAGGGTTTTTTTGTGGTTCACATTCACAGTTGCTCTGGGGTGCAGGCAGTCTGTGGGCTACGGGGTTGACACATGTGATATAGTTCACAGTGGCCTCAAGGGCTTGACTCACAGTGCTAGCGGGCACACACCTGGCCAGGGCTGAGGAGCTGTCTGTCCCTTCTCTGCGTTTGCACCTCTACAGGCTGCTTCCCGCAGCCACTAGTCCCTTTTACTTCAGTTGGCTTATTCATCAATACGACAGCCTGCTATATCAGAGGCCATCCAAGTTGGCCACAGACCAAGTCACAATATATGTTGTCTCTACAGTTCTGGGGGGTCTGTCTTGCCAATAATTTTGTCATTGCTGGGGACAATATGAGACTGGTGGGAAATTTGAATTGCATCGAATTTGCCTGAGTCATTTTCTTCTTTTGATTTTTTTTATCCTCAGATACAAAGAATGTAAAAATCATTTTGCAGCCTAGAGTTTGATGACCCCTGGTTAAGAATGTGGCACTTGTTTGATCTGTGCACCTTAGGTCACCATGTGCAACTGGGGACAAGGGATATGGGAGATAAGTGAAGTCTGTCTTTCTGAGTGTTTGGGGGGGGCATGCAGTGTGTGAACATGGGGTGGGAGGTGCCAAGTCTCCTAAATTTACAAAAATTACTTTTTGAGAAAAGGTCTAAAATAGGCCAGACTGGTCTCAAACTCACTACACAGTCAAAGATGACTTTGAACTTCTGATCTTCCTGCCTCTACCTCTTGTGTAGAGGAACTTAGGCATGCGCCATATCTGGTTTGTGTGGCACTGGGGATGGAACTCGGGGCTTTGTGGGTATTAGGCAAGTGCTCTATTCACCCCTTACCCTAGTTATCCTGAAAATAGCCACCTACCTAGCAACACCCATCTAGGATTCCTATTGGCCAAGAACTGAAGTTGCTGCAGAGACCAAGAGGACCAAGCACATGACAATCTGGCTTTGCCCCTCTGACCAGTAAAAGAAAACACAAAATGACCCAAGGGGCCACTTGGAGTTACTAGTTTAGCTCTGGGGATGGGGACACAGGAGATGTCCCCACACTAGGGGAGGAAGGACTTGTCACCTCTGGAACCTGTATCTCGAAGGATTTGCAACCTGAGGCAGGGGCAGAAGCTGGTGAGGTGGGTGGCTGGTGTGACGGAACAAGGGGTATTGTATGGAGTGAGGGGTTGGATGGGCCAGCGGTTGCAGGGGAAATGCATCTGACTACATGGCCTCCTCTCTTCCTTTTGGCTCTGTGCAGGGTGGAGGAACACATTTTCCCCAGATGCTTACACAGGGAAGAGACTGAATTCCTTTATCCCTGGATTCAACTGTTTGCACACTAAGGAAGGGCCTGCTAGCTGGAGGAAGGGAGGGAAGCCAGGGAGAGATGGAGCCTGGAACCCAGGTCTCAGTATGTGTGTGGGGGGGTGTCAGGGAAGAGCAAGAGTGAAGAGGTGACATTTAACCCAAGAGGCCCAGGTCCCCAAAGTGGAAGAGTGGAGTAGGAGCCAGGAAGGCTGGGACTCTCTCTGTACCATTCAAATCCTTAATCGCAAACAGGTCTTCAGAGATCCTATGTAGCCCAGGTTATCCTCAAACTTGTTATCCTCCTGCCTCAGCCTCCACAGTGCCAGGACTACAGAGAGGTTGTCACCACACTCTATTTTTTTGTTTGTTTGAAGTCTGTGGATCCTTCACAGACTCATGGACCTTAGATTCAGAGCAGAACAGAACCCTGGGAGCTAGGTGACTGGTCACCCTTATAAAGAGACACCCTCCCCTGGCTTCCTCGGGGCACCTGGGACTGTGGAGAAATCTCCTTCTCCAGCATCCGCTGGGTCACTCATCTGCAAAGAGGGGAAGCAGATGGTGAGTGAGTGGGTTCCAGTTCCTGGCAACACTTCAGGTTCCCAATGGCTTGGCCCTCCCTGACCCTTCTCTTCTCTTACTTCCTCTCTTGATAGAAAGGCATGTGACAAAGACGGGGGTGTGTGGACCACAGAGGTCCTGATGGAATTAAAGAGAAAGGAGGAACTAAATTCTAGGTGCTTAGTAGGTTTCTGGGGGGCAGGTCACAGCCCAGCCCTGGACACAGGGATGAGTTCAGAAGGGGGCTTGTTAGGTGAGGATGCAACTGTTGGCGAGAATGGTCCTTAGTGATACTGGAGCCCTGGGACTTGAGCAAATGTATGTAAAATGTCTCCGAGATGCAGGAATGCTGAGCCGCTGAACCACAGACAAGATGTCACCAAGAGAGAGATGTTCACACGGGAACAACTTTTTGTGGAACCCCAAGGTAGAGGGAGATTTGCAAAGAGGTTTGAGAAGGACTTGAGGATATTGTAGGCTAAGTCTTTCTGGAAGTGTGACCACTGTCAATCATTCTTCCTGCTTTACAAGCAGACTTGGGCCCAGGGTGTGCATCTAATAGACCCACCAAAGAAGGGGACAATTCTGTATGATTTCTCTGTCCTGCTACCTCAGCTAGTTTTGTGCTTGGGGACAGCTTTTCCTCTTGTGTCAAGTCTGATTGCTGAGGACAGGGTTTTGGGGCCAGGGACCAGAGACCTCAGGGCATTCCCTTCCATTCCCTCTGTACCACCCATTCTCAACATCCCTCAGGGAGGAACCTGTGGCAGGGGAGCGGGTGGGGAAGCCCAACACAGACCAGAAAAATTTCCATCTTGGGTGGGGAGAGAAGAAAGTCATGGAAGATGTGGGGTTGAGTGACTAGAATAGGTGGGGAATCCCCTCAGAGGACTCAGCACCAGGCCATAGCAGAGACCACGGACCCTCTACATATACATCCCCTCCCTGGCCCCTAACAAGGAACACAGTGGCTGAGAGACGACAGGGAGACCTTTGTAAATAGTTACCGAATACCCTTGTAACCCATCAGGCACACCCAGGACTGTATCCATCACTGTGGGAGAACCAACTCCAGCAGTGCCAGCGCCAAAGAGGGAATGTACCAGAACTCTCTTGCCACAGCCCCCGTTCTCAGGGCTCAGACTTTGGGGGTGCCATGAGTGATGGGGAGCCATGAAGGATCCCCAGCATCAGCTGAGAAGCTATGGTGTCCTCCAATTGCCCAGGCAAGGGTGGGCTGTGAGGTGAGCCAGAACGATGTTCTTACCAAACAGGATGAAGGTGGAGCCAAGAGACCAGTCCCCAGAGAGGCCCCATGCTAAAAAGACACACAGAATTGCCTAGTGTCTTTGTGCTCCCAGGGGCTAGCAGTCACTTCAAGCTTGGAATGGAGCCTCTAAAAACAGATGTTTACAAGCCTAGCCTACGCCTCCCCACTCTGACCTTGACCTGGGAGCCTTGATCTAACAAAGCACATGTGCTGTTCCTGGTTCCACCCCTGTTCTGTGTTCTGGGCTAGCACAGCTGGGACACTCCATAACTGGACAGACTTGTCGGGGTGGAAAGGAAGCTGGTGGCCCTGTCCACTTGTAGACATCTGCACGCACACTGCCCACAGGACTGTGTGTCTTGGCCTCCACAGCCCGGAGGTGTCATGTCCAGTCTGCAGCTCTCTGTACCATGCACAGGACCCTCACTGGTCCAGTTTGATCCCAGCTCAGGGGTCCCTGCTCCTGCGTGCAAGTCCAAGACGCGATCAGCCTCTGTGGTATCCATGCTGTCACACAGGTCTCCCAGGCTGGGCTGTGTCGGGACTCCCTGGGGGTGAGCCTGGGCCTCCTGAGCTGGCAGAGGGCAGAGCAGGGAGGAAGAGGAGGTTTGGGGGTGAGTCAGCTGATGCTGGCCCATGTCCATGGTCACAGCCTGGAAGGGAGAGAGAAGAAATGGTGGCTAAGAGGGATATGGGTCCCATCATGCTATCTTTTGTGTGCTAACACTTTATCAGAGAGTGGCTTCTGGTCAGCCCCCATCCTTTCCAAGCAGAAGGGATTTCTACTGACAGAGGTCTTACTGTAACTAGACTCTGGAATGACTGTGGCCTGTTCCTGACTTCATTTAACCCTGGGAAGGGTTTAGCTGGTGGCATTTTATATCCATTTTCCAAACAAAAACTGAGGATCAGGGAGGTTAAGTGCTTTGCCTATGGGTGCACAGCTAAGAAGCATCAGGGCCAAGATTTGAACACAGAACTCCCTCACTACAGCAGGTAGTCCAGACTTGCGCCAAAGACTTGAGTGACATAGGCAGACTCTCACGCTCACACAAGTCCCTTTAGCATGGGCTCTGATCGCCCCTCCCCACAGGAGTTCAACACATACAGGATGAGTAACGATAAAACTAGATGGAAAATTCCATAGGAGTTCTAGCATCATGGGAACAGGACCACAACTTATTCTCTGTTTCTTTAGTCTCTTCTGTCTCTGTCCAGAGAAGAACCTACAAAACAAGGTTTCCTTCCTCCTCCTCCCCTCCCTGCTGATAAGTTTGAGCCTTTCTGCTCAGTTGAATGCTTCTGCTCAGGGGCCACTGGGTACTGGCCCAAAGGACCTTGACTTTTATAGCACCAGATACTCTGAGTACTCTTAGAAGGCAGAGTGGCGCCTATAAGAGCTGCCTCCTGCCTGTTTCTTGCATGATTGGCTCTAAGTGCCACCAGGTTGCCAGTCCAAGGCTCTTACTCCCTCCTGGCACACAGTAGTTGCCAGGGCAGAGTTAACATTGGTTATCTGAGGCGCACCGTGCCTAGTGCCAAGCACATGATCTTGCTGGGCCCTCACAGTATCCCTGCTATGGGTTTCCCTGCCCCCAGTGTTCAGAGTATTACATTATAGTTCAGAGAAGCCATGGATGTGCCCAAGTCAGATAGCTATTAACGGCAGAGAGGAAATTTCAACCCGAGTCTCTCTGATTGTGGACTCTGCGTTCTCTCTAATTGCCTAGGAAAAGGGTGAGCCTCTGGGACGAGAAGCATTGTGAAGATCAGAGGCAGGACTGTCTCCAAATGCCAAGCTCCTGGGACCTTGGGGATCTTCATGGGGTCCCATGGCATACCAGCACCTACACATCTGTGTGCAGATATGCTGGTGAACAGACACAGCAGTGTTAAGTATGCTGTGTATGTGTACTCATGTACCATGTAGTATCTCTATGTAACTGCTTGTGTTTGCACCTGAATTTGTTTTAGGATGTATTCCCATGGAATGTTCCTATGTATGGAGGTGCATGTACAACTGAATGCCCTCCCCCGCCCCCTGCCCCTCCACCGTGTGTGTAGGTTTGTGTGAAGCACAGTTTGTGTGTGTGTGTGTGTGTGTGTGTGTGTGTGTGTGTGTGTAACTGAGTCTGTGTGAGCTTACCTGGGAGTACCTAGGATGGCTGTGAGAAATGGAGCCCCCTAAGCATTCTCCCTCTCACCTTCAAGAGCGATCCATCATGGTGCCAGGGGACCCCAGGGTGAGATGCATGTTCCTGGTCTTGGGGAAAGCAATGGATCTACAGCTAAGGCATGGCAAGGAGGGGCATAGACCCTCCTGAGAAGAAAGCAGATGCAGAGGATGATAAAAAGCTGGGAGCCCTTCCTGTCTCTAGACTTTTGCAATGGAGGATTCTGGGAGCTGAGATCTGTCACAAAGGGGCAGGTGCTGGCCCAGGTGGGAGGAGCCCTGCAGCAGTCACATGACAGCTGCTTAGACTGTGGTAACTGTGCCAGCTGCAGGCAGATCTGGGGCCCCAGTGTCAGTACAGGCTCCCCTGCACAAGCACTGGTAGAGGTATGGTGGCTGGGTGCTGGGTATGTGGAGTGGGGCCAGCTGACAAAAAGGAAACAAAGGTCAAAGGGTAAGGCAGTGGGGGAGGCACTGAGGGGAACACATACTCTGCAGATTTCCAGAAATGTCCGGGGTGCGACAGGCGGCGGTTTCGCTTTGGCAGTTTCTCTAGCATGTCCATGAGCTTAGTGAAGGTGGGCCGCTCTTCCTGTTCAAAGGCCCAGCAGAAGAGCAGGATATCCTAGAAGAAAGCAGCAAGTCATGACATGGTGACTTAGTACTGAGTCCTCATCTAAGTGCCCGTACCAGGGCATTGCTCTGGGACTAGTCATTTGTCCACCCATCTGGCCCGTTTCACATCTCTCCATCACCCACCCTTCCATCCACCTACTCAGCATTCATCCACCCACTTAGCGGCCACTATCAACCTACCCAGTGATAAACATAGCCATCCCACCCATCAACCTACCCACCTACCCATCCATCAATCCATCCATCAATCCATCCATCCATCCATTCATCCATCCACCCACCCATCATCCAATCACCCACCATGAGCCACCATCAATCTGCCTACCATCTACACATCCATCCATATCAACTCGTTCATTCATCCTTTACCTAGCATCCATCATCTATCACTCATTCTTCACCCATTCACAAAATATACACACCCCCATACACCCACCTATCCATCCATCCATTCATCCACACATAAATTATTTACTCTCTCATCTATCTATTCACTCACCACCCACACAACATTCCATCCAATTATCCATCTATCCACTGTCCACAAAGCATGAATCCTCATAATCACTCCTCTATACCAATTCACTTATTCATCTTAATCTCCCATCTATTTACCCACCCATTCATCTTATCTCTCACTCTCCCTTCTTCCATCCTCTCATTTACTTGATTAGCCATGCTAGTAAGCCAGGGAGGCCCACTGCTAGAAGACTGGAGATATTTCAAGGCCAATAGTAGCTCCAGAGAGTTTCTTGGCATTTTTCTTGAAAGCAAGGGATAGAAGAAAATCCTGAAGTCTCTAGCTACATCCCACTCAATTAGTAGGTGTTCCTCAAAGTTACAGAAAGGTAAACTTCATTTCCACCATATCTTTGCCCAGGAAGAGGAATCTGGCGACACCTGGGGGCAGGTGGTCCCAATGAGCACCCAGGGGCAGGTGGTCCAGATGGACATCTGGGGTAATTACTGCTTCCATGACTTACCTGTCTTCTGACCAAAAGAGAGGACTCTTCCTCTCCATTGTGTTTAAGACAAAGAGTTCTCATTTACAATCAGGCTTCTTGGTTTCTGTCTTGCATATTCTGAGTTAGAGCATGATTTAACACTATTGTTGGATGCAAGTAAAAAATGAGTGCTGATACTGTTTGTGACATTTTAATGAATATTGTTTAAAAAGTAACAGACCAGGTATTTATTGATTTTTTATCTGAAGCAGCAATTCATTGCCAGGAGGGTGATCAAAGTGCTACTGTGCCTCTAGTGGCAGGCACCTAGAATTGCAGGCATAATGCTGAGAATTTGCCCTTTAAACTCCAAGCTGGACACTTTTTTTTTTAAGTCACTCTCTGTGAAATCCTGTAGATTCACACAGAGAACCAAGAAATACCAGGACTGTGTCTGCTTCTCTCATTGTACTCCAGACTCAGTCTCTCATGGGACTTACCGAGATTTCTTTTCCCATGCCAATCTGACTGAGGTTGGGTTTCATGCCTGCACCCATCTGCCAAATTATTGCCTCTGCTGGTTGAGTCTTGAACGGCCACTCCCGGGCATGAAGTTCATACCAGATGGTTCTGTTGGGCAATGGACACGGTTAATGAGGCATTGCTGTGGCGTGCCATTTGTGAGCCAGAAAACCCCTCTTCACCCACCATACAATCAGAGGTAGCCTCCTGAATAGCCATTCCCATGGCGGTCTCTTCCCAAGGACTGCTATTTTGTCTAAAACCCTCTTGAAGTTATTCATTAGGCTTGTTGTCTCAGAATACTTTTTTTTTTAAAGCTAGGATGTATACAACTCTACCTGAATAACTTAACACAGGTGGTGGCCATCTCTGACCTTATACTCACATCGCTACTGAATACCTTATTTGAATACTTTATTCATTTGAATCCTTTATTCATGAGGTTGTTCTCTATGGCCTTACATATAAAACCGAAAAGGGTAGAAATAACATAACATCTCAGTAGTAACCTGCAGATGTATGTATTATAGTAACTCCTTAAAATGAAACAGCACCACCGTATTACCTTGAAAATGTTTGCAAGACATTTTGCTGGCATGGGAAATTCTCAACAGATCACTCTAAGCATAAAAAGCAGGATGAGGAATGTATCCAGGGTCTTTAAAGATCACTACATAAGCATGGGTGGTGGGGGTCACAAAAGCCAACAATGTGCGCATGAGGAGTAGTGGGATGGGGGGCTTCTACTTTCATAGCTGTGCTATGAATCACAGAGAGTGGCACAAAAAACACAGGAAGACTGGTGTGATGCAGACTGGCCTGTCTATGCTAGTTGGATGACACAGTGCAAGCCACACCCCTTCTCCCTGTGCCTGTGGAAGGGTGTCTACCTGGGATGCCAAGCATCCGGACACAGGGCTAGGATTACTCCATGGACATTTGCCACGCCACATAAATCCCAACAATGTAATAAAGGGAGAAAAAAGTGGAGCTCTTGGCCGGGGATGGGGTGATGGCTGGATGGCACATAAATGCCATCATGAGGCACTATCAGTGGTGAGGATGGTGGCCGACAAGCTTGGGGAGGCAGGCATGTCATTGAGCTGTACTGTGGCCAGAGGTCTCTGCTACTTGAGAAACAGGTCTCTCCTATCAACTCAGAAAGTATCTCAATAAAAACGATGCTTCCCTCTCCACAAGGAGACTTCTGGACTTTCTTTCTTTTCCTGAGACATGGGTTCTCTGTGTAGCCTTGGCTGTCCTGGTACTGTAGACCAGGCTGGCCTTGAGCCCACAGAGATCCACCTGCCTCTGCCTCCCAAGTGCTGGGATTAAAGATGTACGCTACTACATCAGGATTTCTGGGCTTTTCTTTAACACAAAGTCACTCTGGCATTCTCTTGACTGACCAAGGACTGTGTTAAGTCTTCACAGACAACTTTATTTTATTTAAAAATTTGCATTATCGTTAATTACGTATATGTGTGGATATAGGCACATGACTATATGGAGGCCAGAAGAGGGCGTCAGAGATTCTGGAGTTACAGATGTGAGCTGGTTGATGTGTGTGCTGGGAACCAAACTTTAGACTTCTGCAAGGGTAACAAACACTCTTAACCATGCAGCCCTAGACGGCCTTGACCTCACTGAATCATCTGTCTAGTCCCTAGGTGTGCTGACCAAATGTAAGTAGAACAGTGCCAACAGACATGTCAAAGTGCACAGAGGAAATCCCAGGATGCCCCAGCCCTGCTCTAAGAACTACAGGCACCCAAGCATGCTGAGAGTGGGAGAGAGAGTCTTCCCCAGGGAAGAGCTCACCATGGGTTAGCCAATACCAAATGGTCAGCCCCGAAGACACAAATAAGGGCACACAGTCTGAGCAGATTGTATTTAGCAAGATAAATGTATGTACATATATGCATGCAACAACAATTAATAGAAAGAGGCCTTGAATTTGAAAGGCGGGGTATATGGGAGGGTTTGGACTGAATGGAGGAAAGGGAAGGGAGAGTGATGTAATTGTATTATAACCCCAATTTTTTAGTCAATAATAAGTAAACAAATGAAAAAATCCTTTCTGCATTTTACTTTCTTTGTTGCTCGGGATGGAACCCAGTGCCTCGTGCGTTACAGTACACCTTACAGTTACATTTAACACCTTCAATCACTGGCTTCAGTGTAGAAGCTTGAAGCTCAGTTTGATTGACAGTCTTTGGAGGAATGTGGGTTTGGTCTGGCTTTGAGTTGCTGGCATAGGATCCAGAGCCCATACATGCTAAGCAAGGACTCCAAACTGAACCTCATGCCTAATGCTGTGTGTGTTTTTATTCCAATGCTTGGACTGGTTGGCGACTGGCTAGTCCTGGTGGACCATCCCCTGCCTAGGGTATCTGAGTCCTGTGGACAGGGAGGGGCTGACCAGGGAGTGTGCCTTTCTCAACAAACCAAAAGACTCAGAACATCTTTCCCAGTCATTTACACTTACGGTCCATGGCTCCTTCCAGCCCCTCCCCCCAGAGCCCAAGAAAAGATTCCAGTTCACTGGTGGTTTTTCCTGTCATCCTCTTTCTTGTATACATGTGTTCACATGGGCACATATGTATGTGTACTTATGTGCACATGCATGTTGATGCCAGAGGCCAACCACAGGTACGATTCCTTAGCTATGACCACTTTGCTTGAGACAAGATCTCTCTAGGTAGCTCTGGCTGGTCTTGAACTTACTATGTAGACCAGACTGGCTTTGAACTCACAGAAATCTGCTTACTTATGCCTCCTGAGTGCTGGGATTAAAGGCATGTACTCCACACCCTGCTTGTTTTTAAAGACAGTCTCTCACTGGCCTGGAACTCACCGATTCATCTAGACTGGCCAGGGGGCTCTACTCTTTCCCAATGCTGGGATCACATGGGATCACAGGCACATACTACCATACCCAGCTTTTTGTTTTGTTTTGCTTTTATCAAGACAGGGTTTCCCTGTGTAGCCCTCGTCCTGGAACTAGTTTTGTAAACCAGGCTGGTCTCAGACTCACAGAGATCCACTCGCCTCTGCCTCCCAAGTGCTGGGATTAAAGGTGTGTGCGACCGCCTGGCCATGCCCAGCTTTTTTTATTTATTTTTTATTTTTTTATTTTTAAGTTTAAATTTAGATTAGAAACATGGTTGGTTCACAAGTCAGTTCCAGGTCCCCCTCCCTTTCCCTCCCCTCCTCCCGTGCCCTCCCCCCAATCCCCCCATTATCCCCTCATTTCCCCAGGGAGGGTGAGGCCCTCCATGGGGGTGTCCATAGACTGTCATTTCATCCAGGGCAGGGCCTAGACTCTCCCCCAAGAGTTCAGGGTGAGAGTGCATCTCACATTGTTGGATGGGAGTCCAAAGTCCGTGTGTATACTCGGGATGAGTACTGCTCTACTGCCCAAGGCTCAATAAATTACCTAGGCCTCCTCACTGACACCCCCATTCAGGGGGTCTTGATCAGTCCCATCTTGGATTCCCAGGCATCAGCCTGGGATTCAAGAGTTAACCCTTGTCAGGTCCGCTGTTTCTGGGGTTAAACCAGCCCAGTCTTAACTCCTTTGGTCATCAGTCCTCCCTCTCTGTTACTGGCTTTCTTGAGTTCAGCTCAGTACTTAGCCATGGGAGTCTGCCTCTTCTTCCATCAGCCACTGAATGAAGTTTCTGTTTCCCAGACTCTCTGGCCATGGGATTGTAGGCTGGCACGCCCCCAGATCTATGCCTAAAATCCATATATGAGAGAGTACATGCCATGTTTCTCTTTTTGTGACTGCGTTACCTCACTCAGGATGGTTTCTTCTAGTGTCATCCATTTGCCTGCAAATCTCAGGATTCCATTATCTTTTCTGCTGAATAGTACTCCATTGTGTAAATGTACCACATTTTCTCTATCCACTCTTCAGTTGAGGGGTATCTAGGTTGCTTCCAAGTTCTGGCTATTACAAATAATGCTGCTATGAACATAGTGGAACAGATATCCTTGTTGTATGAATGGGCATCTTTTGGATATATGCCTAAGAGTGGAGTTGCTGGGTCTTGTGGTAGGTTTATTCCCATTTTTCTGAGGAATCTCCATACTGATTTCCAAAGTGGCTGAACCAGTTGGCACTCCCACCAGCAATGGAGGAGTGTTCCCCTTTCACCACATCCTCTCCAGCATAAATTGTCATTGGTGTTTTTGATTTTAGCCATTCTGACAGGAGTGAGATGGTATCTCAGAGTTGTTTTGATTTGCATTTCCCGGATGGCTAAGGATGTTGAGCACTTTCTCAAGTGCCTCTCAGCCATTTTAGACTCCTCTATTGAAAATTCTCTATTTAGTTCTGCAGCCCACTTTTTAATTGGATTCTTTGGTGTTTTGGAGACTTGCTTCTTGAATTCTTTGTAAATTTTGGAGATCAACCCTCTGTCAGATGTGGGGTTAGTGAATATTTTTTCCCATTCTGTGGGCTGCCTTTTTGTCTTGCTAACTGTGTCCTTTGCCTTACAGAAGCTTCTCAGTTTCAGGAGGTCCCATTTATTAATTGTTGATCTCACTGTCTGTGCTACTGGTGTTATATTCAGGAAGCTGTCTCCTGTACCAATTCGTTCAAGGGTATCACCCACTTTCTCTTCTAAGAGGTTCAGTGTGGCTAGATTTATGTTGAGGTCTTTGATCCATTTGGACTTAAGTTTTGTGCATGGCGATAAACATGGATCGATCCACAGTCTTCTACATGCCAGCCTCCAGTTATGCCAGCACCATTTGTTGAAGATGCTTTCTTTATTCCATTGCATATTTTTAGCTTCTTTGTCAAAGATCAGATGTTCATACATGTGTGGGTTAATATCAGGGTTTTCAATTTGATTCCATTGGTCTACCTGTCTGTTTTTGTGCCGATACCAAGCTGTTTTCAGGACTATAGATCTATAATAGAGCTTGAAGTCAGGGATGGTGATGCCTCCGGACGTTGCCTTGTTGAACAGGGTTGTTTTGGCTATCCTAGGTCTTTTGTTTTCCATACAAAATTGATTATTGTTCTTTCAAGGTCTGTGAAGAATTGTGCTGGGATTTTAATGGGGATTGCATTGAATGTGTAGATTGCTTTTGGCAGGATTGCCATTTTTACTACATTGATCCTACCTATCCAAGAGCATGGGAGATCTTTCCATTTTCTGAGGGCTTCTTTAATTTCTTTCTTTAAAGATTCAAAGTTCTTGCGATACAGGTCTTTCACTTGTTTGGTTAGCGTTACCCCAAGGTATTTAATGTTGTTTGTGGCAATTGTAAAGGGTGATGTTTCTCTGATTTCTTTCTCAGCCCTTTTATCATCTGTATATAGTAGGGCTACTGATTTTCTTGAGTTGATCTTGTAGCCTGCCACTTTGCTGAAGGTGTTCCCTGGTAGATTTCTTTGGGTCATTTATGTAAACTATCATATCATCTGCAAACAGTGAAAGTTTGACCTCTTCCTTCCCACATGCCCAGCTTTTTATGCAGGTTCTGGGACTTGAACTCAGGTCCCCGTGTTTGCATGCCACACACTGAGGACTGAGCCATCTCCCCCGTTCCTGCAGAGGTTTTATTAAGCTTAATCTGCAATAGAGAGAAGCAAGGCTTTGAGTGTGGTTCACTCCCAGGTCTGTGGGCTGCTGTGTTCAAGCCCTGGCCACAGATTCAGGGTGGTCCTGGTTTCAATCCCGGCTCTGCCACCAGTTGCCGCACAGCATGTCACAACCATCTGGCCTCGCTTTTTCACCAGCCGATCCAGGACGGCACAGCCACTTGAGAAGGTGTTTGTGAACACTGTATGCTAGCACACACACACGAAAAGCTCAGCACAGCATTCAGTCCACTTCCACCACCTTCTTTATGCTCTAAATCATTCCTGAACATGAGGTTCCCTGGCAACGGGATGCTCCTAATTGGCGGGCATCCGAGAGCACGGGGTCCATCGCAATCCAACAGTGTCACCAATAAAAGGCTCATTAAAACTTCCTTCCTAACCCAACTTTTAAGAGAAAAAATTCACTTTGAGGAGTAAAAAAAATATTATAGATGAAAACTGTAGCGGGAAAGCAATTACTTACTCTAGTACATTTTGTTAATTACATTTTTTCTTTCGTTAGATTCACAGTAAAAATAAACCAACTTAATTACTGCAATTTGGTTCCAGATAATGATACTTAACTAGATAAAGATTTGGGAATTAACTAGTTAGACCAAGTGATGGCCTCTCAAGGGGCTCAAATGATGGGCTCTGAGGATTGAAATCTTCTTAAAATGCACAGTTTGGGGCGGGCAGTGAGGGCACAGTGGGGTGCTTTTCTACAGGAGGTTGACTGCCTCTCTAATGCGCCCCAGGATGACAGGTCTAATTGCACAAATCTACACCCTTGCAGCTTCCTTGGTCAGCTTTCCCAGCACTGTCTCCCACTCTTCAAATCCATCCCACAAATAAAGCAAGGATCAGCACAGCTATTTATGGGATGGGGCCCAGCTATTTCCTGGGTGCATTTTCTCATCTGTTGCTGTCGGCATGTGTGTATATATGCATGTGTTAGATGTGTTCCTGTATGTATGTAAATGATACCCAAATATGTGTGGAGATCAGAGATCATGTATCTTGCCGCAGCTTCTCTCCACCTTATTTTTTTTGAGGCGGGGTCTCTGACTGGGCCTTGAATCACTAATTCACCTAGGCTGGCTAGCCATTGAGCTCTAGGGACCCACCTGTGTCAGCCTCCCCTGCATGGTTCTTTACATCGTCAATAAAGTTACAAACTCATGTCCTTATGACTGTGTAACAAGCACTTGTTGATGGAACCATCTCCCTAGACCCCTGCTTCTTCTTCTTGATTATTAATTGGGACAGAGTCTTAGTCTGTATCTCAGGCTAGCCTTAAACTAGGGTGATCTTCCTGACCCAGGCTCCTGCATGCTGGCTATAGGCACACCATGCTGCACATTGCTCCTGTCTCCTGGCTGGACCTTCCGAGTGCTCCATCTCACATCCTGCACCTATGTCTTGCATCCTTCCCCATAGCTGCAGATGCTATTTCCTGAGTCACGGATACCTCCTCTCCCAACTCCAGATGTGGAGTAGATGGCTAGCACCTCTGCTAATCATCTCTAAAGATGTCCAGATTTCACTGTGGCCATACCCAACCTCGCCTCACTTCTAAGGTCGCTTCCTCAGAGAGCACACTGTCCTTCTATGTGCCGACGGCAACTATCTCAGGACCCTGTCACTAAGCCCCAGCACTTATACCCTGTAAAGGCTTCTGTATTTGGAGCCCATTACCCACAGCTTCTGATTCATGGAATGACCAACACCTTGTGTGTCATCATCCAACCTTCACCAAGCCCTTCTCCGCTCAGTTATCTGTAGAGCAGCCAGAGTGATCTGGCTGACTGGGGCTCTCGTGGCAATCACGCCACTTAACCTGCTTTATAACCATCAATGGCTCCCTAGCACCTTGAAGATGAAGCTCCTTCACACCACCAGTACGTCCACCAAGGCCTGCTTTCTTCCTGAGTGTCCCACCTCAGCCTCATTCCCAACCCAACTTTTCACACTTCCCCAATGCTACTTATCCCTCCATTGTAGATGATTTACCTCCCCTCTGGAGCACCTGTCTCCCTGCCTCTACTCTCTGACTCCAGCCTAGGAGTCACTTCCAGCTAGAGCCCTGCCCCCCAGGTTGGTACTGGGATTCTCTTTAATCCCCAGAGCCCTGCCTTTAACCCAAGTGCAACGTTACAGTGTTCCCTGGAACTCCACAAGGCAGAGTGGAGTGAGCATTGAGGTCAAGGCAGGATCGCATCTCAGCAGCAAAGTACTTGCCTCGAAGGCGCAAGGCCCTGGGTCTCAGCCCCAGTAGCTTGAGAAGAAGAAGTCAAAAAAGTTCTGAAACTCCTTCCTCCCTGAAATGGCAGAGATAATATTTCCCGCCCTCGAGGGCCATCTACACTCAGTGGCTCGCCTACAAGGTACACATGCCAGAAGGAGACAGAACATTCCAAGTAACTGCAGTTGCTCTCCTACTCAGAATACCTGTGAACACTTCTGAAGTCAAAGAAAGTTGTAAGGTGACCAGAGTGTGAATTGCCCTGGTTTCCATTGTTATGCAAAGTACACACCCGCCAAAGTATCCTGTTGCATGTAAATAGGTCATTCAAAGAAAACTTAAAAAAATATGGTGACAGTGATACTGCGTTACTCCTCAGACTTAGCTCATATTTGCAACAAGGCTCTTAGGTGCCATGTTGGGAGCTCACTGGAGCAGCCTCCACATAGCAGGGTGAACAGTTGGGTGAGCAGGAGCAGCCATCTTGGGAGTGGCCCATAGGCACTTGATACACAATGAACACTGTAGCAATGTAACAATGACTTGGTATACAATGAACAAATGGGTGAATGAAAGAAAGAACTAATGAATGAGTAGGATAACTAGCCATGGTCCCATAATCTGAAACCAGGGATACAGAGTGTGCTACAGTCATTCTTTCTACTACATCCCCCAAGCTCACTCAGAAATCCTACCACCTTGTCCTTACCAACATGTGCCCTGGCTCTTCCAAAGGTGTTACTAGGCAGTGGCTCTACCCATGCTGTGGAGGTCAAAGACCAGGATGTGATCCACTTACCCAAGCGCAAAGACATCCGAATGCTTGGAGAAGGGGAGCTTGTCCTCTTCCGTGTCAGGGGACAGCTGGCGGATGATCTCTGGGGCCAGGTGGCACAGCCAACCATTCTGGATGCGTAGCTTGTCTTCTCGCCTGCAGAGGCAAAGCCTGGGTGAGCTTTGTTTTGTAGTGCTGACCCCAGGTCCCAGAAACACCTCTACAGTACTCCACAGGCGTTCCCTGGCCCACCGTATGATGCTGAGACCCAAGGTGAGGTGTAGGGAAAGCGATGGTGGAGGCCAGCCCAAGCCACCCTCAGGTCCACAGCCTCTGGGTCCTCTTTCTCATCTTCCCTGGACACTGGCCATTCTTGTTGTTCCTACAAGTTGTGCTCTGCAGTCTAAGGCTGCCTCTAGGGGAACTGTACTGGGTGGTTTTGTGTGTCAGCTTGACATGAGCTAGAGTCATCAGAGGAAGGAAACTCAGCTGAGGAAATGCCTCCATGAGATCCAGCTGTAGGGCATTTTCTCGATTCATGATCACTGCGGGAAGGCCCCATCCATGGTGGGTGGTGTCAACCCTGGGCTGCTGGTCCTGGGTTCTATAAGAAGGTAGGTTGAACAAGTTACGGGGAGCAAGTCAGTGAGCAGCTCCCTTCCATGGCCTCTGCATCAGCTCCTGCCTCCAGGTTCCTGCCCTGGTTGAGTTCCTGTCCTGATTTCCTTCAGTGATGAACAGCAATGTGGAGTGTGTGTGTGCTCTTGACACATGCCTAGAGGTGAGGGGACAAACTGCAGAAACTGGTTCCCTTTTACCACATGGGTCCTGGGGACTGAACTCTGGTCTTCAGGTCTGGTGGCAAGCACAGTTACTTGCTGAGCCATCTCACCAGCCCCAAGGACTGAACTTTAAATTTAATTCCACTTTAAATTTTAATTATAGCGAGTCTCTCTCTCTTACACACACATACACACACACACACACCATAGAACTCATGCGATGGGTTGGTCAGAGGACAACTTGTAGGAGTTATTCTCTCCTAGCATGACAGCCTCCGGGGATCAAAGTCAGGTCACCAGGCTTGGCAGCAAGTGCCTTTACCCCACTGAGCCCTCTCCAAGACCCTGATTCTACTTTAATTAAAGTTGAATCTGCACAGATACATCTGTCTGGCTAGTGGCCCAGATCTCGATAATGATTTACTAAAACCAATTAAAAAAAAAAGAAACTTAAATGTATTTTAATAAGTGACTTTTAGCACAGCCATAAATAGAAACTAGTGTTTTTCCAATACACATTAAAATGAAGGCAGAGAGCACTTGTCCATTCCCTCCTTAAAATCCACTCACAGCCTACACTCTCGGAAACCCTGGGCCTAAAGGAAAGAACTCTTAATGAGGTGGCAGGAGTTTGGGGATCAGGGTTCCAGAACTGCTGATGCATTTCCTAGCTGGGTGAAGGAGGCTAGGAACACTCTAGACTCACAGTCCTCCAAGCCATTTTTCTTCTCAGAGGGCATACAGCATCCATGTGGATAAACACAGGTACTGAGAGATCCCTACACAGGGGCTGAAGGAAAGGGACTGAGCTTGGGGGATCACTGCAGCTTCAGCCCGCTACCGTGTGTGTTTAGGGGCTCTCCGTTGGGGCACCCCTCCATCCACCATTGGGGCCGTCGGTCCACTGCCTGTATTTCTACACCAGGAGCTAGACACAGTCAGGTGGCCGCCATGAAATCTATTCTGACTCAGGCTTCTCGTCCCCAGTGCCATATTGCCATGGATTCCTCTGTGAGGTGGCGCTATCCTGTGCTGTGCACTATGTTTTACGGCACCGTTGACCTCTGTGCAGTAGATGCTGGAAGCACGGCACACACTGTAGCTAGGAGGAAGGTCTCCAGACCTATGGGCAGGAAAAACCGCCCCCATGGAAAGTTCTTCACTTAACACACATTACAGAAAAGAATGGTCTAGATTGCAGTGCCACAAATGTCTTCTCTACTGTGAACAGAGACCATGATAGTCCGTGTCCCCGTTAGTACTGAGAGCCCAGACAGCTTTCTTCTCAGATCAAGAACACCTGGTGACATTTAAGAGTTTAAGGACCCATTTGTTGCTTCTTAGCTGTGTGGCCTTGGGCACACCTTGGTCTCTATTTTCCCATCTGCCAAATGGGTACATTCATTTGTACCTCAGGCGGCTATGCCAACATGAGAGTGTCTGGTTCAGGGCTATGTCTGCTGCCAGAGCTATATGACTACTGGGTGGAAGTTATTGCATATTACCACCCCCCCACACACACAGACGCGCATGTTATATCTGCTTATCTGGAGGACTGGGTCCAAAGTAAGAAAGTCTAGTGCAGAGTAGGGAACTTAGAGTGGGTCAGTCAACCTTCCCCAAGCATTGCCAGCCCTTGCGGGGGCTGGGGGACTGGGAACCACTGGGACAGAAGGGGGCGTGGCAAACATACAAGTGCCATCAGTCTGGGACTGGCGTAGGCTCATGCCTGGGAGAGGGTTAGAAGCCAGACTTGATGCCTACACCCCAGGGTGTCCTGTTCCCATGGCAATGGGCCCATCAATGACAAGTCCAAATCATCCTCATTATGGTTATTATTATGATTAATAACAGGTTGTGTGAGGTTGACACCTTAAACGACACTTTTTCTCCTTGAGGGTGGCAGAGCAGCTGTTTGCAGGGATCTCCATGGCTACCTCTTTGTGGGTCTCTTCCAGTCCAGCAGGGTATTCTGGAGAACAGCAGCCATGAGGAACCTGACTGCAGTCAGCCCAGCACACCCTGGGACTGTTATTTGAAGCATCTCTATTTGAAGTCCCGTTACCTCCGTTCCACCCATTCTACAGGCGCGGGCGCATACTCAATGGAACCTGAGTCCCTGTCATCTACCTTGCAGTGCTATGGGCTTGGGGTTGTTCCGCCAGACTCTCAATGTGACAGTCACCAAAGGCGGGGCTTGTGGGCTCAGGATTTCACTTGTATGACACAGAAGCAGAAGGAGGGACGGCTGGGAAGAGAGGAAGAGCCAGAAAGAAGGGAGGCACGCAAAAGAGGTTGGGTGTGAGCACCGACACAAAGGTGTGCAAATGTCACAGTGAAACCCATCGTTTGGTACAGCAAACGCATGTCAGTAATGCACTCTGTCTCATGCATTAATTTTAAGCTTTTGAAACTACATTTATTGATTTATTTCTGGGAGGGAGGAGTTGGAGAGTGTGTGTGACAGTTGCAGGACAACTTGTGAGAGAGTGGGTTCCCTCCTTCTACCATGTGGATCCCAGGGACTGAGCTCAGGTCATTAGGCTTGGCCAGTTCCCACCCTGCCATCTTACTAGTGCATGTGCACACACATGCGCACACGCCCACACACACACACACACACACACTACTGTATGTGGGTTTTAGAGAGATAATTAAGATTAAACAAGGTCTAAATCCAGGGCCCTAAGCAATCGGTTGTCATACTTAGAAACCGGTGGTGTGAATAAGAATGGTCCCACAGACCCATATATTTAAATGCTTAGCTACCAGGGAATGGAACTGTTGAAAGGATTAGAAGGATCAGGAGGTGTGGCCTTGTTAGAGAAAGTGTGTCACTGGGGGGTGGACTTTGAGGTTTCAAAAGCTCACACCAGGCTCAATGTCTTGCTCTCTGGCTGCAGATCAGGATGTAGCTCTCAGACACTTCTCCACTGCCATGTGTACCACCAAGCTCCCTGCCAAGATGATAATGGACCAAGTCTCTGAAACCGTAAGCAAGGCCTCAATTAAATGCTTTCTTTCATAAGAGTTGCCTTGTTCATGGTGTCTCTTCACAGCAGTAGGACAGTGACTAACACAGAAGCATTGTACCAGGGACTGTGGTATTGCTGTGACAGGCCTGGCCATGCTGTTTGTTGGAGGAGCATGGAGGACTTTGGGACTTAGAAGAGTGCTTGGACACTCTAAGCAGGGCTCATGAGCCATTGTAGTAGGAGCATGGAAGACAGTGCTGAGGGCAATTTGAACCCTGGGGGCCCAGCTCAGGAAGGGGCAGGATGTGAGCAAGTGGCCTATAGATTGCCATTGTGGTATTTTAGCACAGAATGTGGCTGCTTTTAGTCCTTGTCCTAAAAATCTGCTTGGGGCTAAACAGAAGAGTTTTGCATTAATGGCCTTGAGAGATCTAGCAGATCTATAATGAAAAGGAGAGAGCTGGACAAAGAAAGATACAAGACTGACAGTTTGAGGAGAAAAGAAACACTTGGAAGTCTAATGGAGCCAAATCCTGTGTTCAAATCCTGTGTTTAAAGAAAGGCCTGATTCAAAATGAAATAAAGGGAGTGGTGACTTCAGGAAGACCCTGTTTCACACTCCTCAGAAATTGGTACCACTATTGCTGTGATGAAATACCACAGCCAAAAACAACTTGGGGAAGGGGGAGTGTTCACTTGGCTTAGACTTCCATGTCACTGTTCATCATCGACGGAAGTCAGGACAGGAACTCAAGCAGGGCAGGAACCTGGAGACAGGAGTTGAGGCAGAGGCCATGGAGGGTGCTGCTTACTGGCTGCTTACTGTCCCCCACGGTTTGCCCAACCTGCTTTCTTATACTATTAGTCCAAGGATAGCACCACCCACAATGGGCTGGGGCCTCCTCCATCAATCACTAATCAAGAAAAGGTCCTACAGGTTTGCCTGCAGCCCAGTCTTATGGAGGCATTTTCTCAACTGAGGCTCCCTTCTCTCTGATGACTCTAGCTTGTGTCAAGTTGACGCAAAACAAGCCAGCACAGAAACAGACCAGCCATGAGAATTTTGTCTCTTTCTCCATTCCTTCCTTCTCTTCCCCAAGCCCTCGCCTCCCCTGCCCCATCTATCTGAGCGATCATACAAGGACATAAGGAGAAGGCCATCTATGAGCCTGGAACACAACTCTCTGCAGAGACAGGCCTTGACCTTGAAGCCCCAGAACTGTGCACTGCATCAGGACCCCATACCCTGCTACCTTGTTATAGGAACCCTGGTTGGTGAGTGGCCATTTGGTGCCTGCCTAATGGAGACACAGACTTGGAACTCGGGCTTCGCTCCTGAGGATGGGTATGTTGCTGCCTGCAATTTTGACTCCCTTGCCTCAGCCCCCATCTTCCACTCCCAGGCTGCTAAGCGGGGCCACAAATATTCCGTGTTTGATGGTGTCTCCTGTCTCCACCACTTTGCTCCTGTTGGCATTATTCCTGAGATTCCACTGCCTCTCCTGACACGAGATGGATGTGTGCTGACAGCCAGGATGGGGCAGAGATGGGAGGGGGCGTTGTCTTGGCAAGGCAAGAAGCCATCTTATCTTTGAATTGGCTTCATTTCCTTCCTGGTTGGTCCATACTGGGTCTCCAGGAGCAATGGAAGGAGAGAGCACCCAGGACTGCCCCCACACACACACTTCTCCTTCTTGGTCTCTGCAGTGTGGCCTCAGCAATACAACAGAGTAAGGGAGACAGTCACAGACTTCTGCCCCCGCCTTCCACCACAAGGACAGCAAGCAGATTTAGATAGGTATTACATTTTAATTGTGCTATGGTCCCCAAAGGCTCACTGTTGGAGGCTCGCATCCAGCTGGTGGTATTATCGTGGGAGGTTCAGCTAGGCAGAGAATAGCTGGAAAAAGTAAGTCACAGGGTGGGGGCTTGAGTCTCTAAGGGTTTCATGTCCCTGGCTACTTCCTGCCCATTCTCCACTTCCTGTCAGCCATGAGGCAAGTAAGTTCCTCTTCTACGTGGGCCTTGCCTCCATGATGGCTGTCCAAATCCATGGGACCAAACAGCTGAGACCAAAAATCTGTGAGCCATGCTAAATCTTTCCTCCGGTAAGCTGTGTGTATTTCCATCACCGTGAGGAACTCATTAACATTGCAGGTCACCAGGGGTAGAGATCTAACTTTCTGACCAGCCCCAAAGCAAGTTAAAGAAAACACTTATCCAGCTTCCATTAGTCCCACGTTAATACTTGGGTTCACAGGGACATCACCAATTGTGTCTCTAACCCTGCTCTGACCCCAGGGTCCTGGCAAACAAGTGAATGTGATTCTCTCTGGCAAGTCAGGGATCTTGGTACTGCTTTGGGACAGTGCAATGAAGGACCCCTACCCAATCTTGATCTGCTAGCTCCTTTGGGATTTGCTCTCTGCATGTGTCTACTGACCTATTTGTTTGCCTCCAATTATCTTTGTGCCAGAGATAGTGCTAGAAACTGGGGGCATCCTGTTTGGATGGGAGAGATGACACCTGAAGACAGAAACCAACACTGCTTGCTCTATGTCACCTCACACACACCCCCAAGCATCTCATGTCATGTTTTGTCAAATTTCAGGCACTCTGACTCAAATGCAAAGGTAGCTCACAGCAGGGATGAAGTCCTTTGGGAAGACAGGAGGATGTCCCTCAAAGAAACCAGTGGTTTCTCCAGAATGACAGAAACTCAAACACAAGGAGAGGAATCACAGTGCTCTCTCCCTGTGGAGAGAGGCCATTCATTACAGGATGCAGGGGTTTAAGATGTGTGTGCCATGCATGTGTACTCAGCACACACTCCAAATTAAAATTCGTGAGGGCAGACCTTCTGAGTTATAGGCTGTTTATTTGGGATCAAGCTGTTTCTCGCATGGCTGACTCAACGTGGCTGGCTCCAGGGTGAGTGGCCTCTGAGAGTTAATTACTTAAAGATGGTTAATCATTCCCTGGGTGATCCTAGGGAGGTATATGCAAATGACTGCTAATTACAACACAGCAGTACAGCTATTTGCCCTGCATCTGATGCCACTCAGGGTCCTGTGCTGGATGCTCTCCTGTATCCTCATGTTTTATCTTCATAAGGACCCTCCAAGCGAGGCATTTTCAAACACACAAGCAAACTCGAGTTCAGAGAATATTGCTTCTCTTTACCATGGCCACAGTTAAGAATGGACCCCATCTGGCCTAGGTTGTCTGACCTAAATTCACTTGTTCTTAGCTGTGTTTAGTTGCTGGGCTAAAATGAATTCCTAAGACAGCTTGGATCTTAGGGCTTAGTTGACCCCATCCCCTAGGGAAACCCTCTAGGCAAGGAGGAAAGACCCCCCCAGCTCTGGGTAAAAGCTCGTGAGACTTAGGGATGTGTTAGATCTTGTGCCACACACTCAAAGGTACCACTTTCGAGACAAGTGAGTAAGACACTAAGCTCATCAGACTAAGAGAATGACTTTGGTGACCCCCACTGGCATGGCAGCCTAGCCACAGCCCTCAACAACTGTAAACTCAAACCCTAATCTAAGCCACTCAAAACATTTGGGATGAGTTCCTACCCCCCTGATGGTCACTTGTCAAGAGTTCCTCTGGTCCCCTCTGTCACCTCTTACCTTCCAGCCTGCAGCACCCCAGAAATGCTGAAGAGCCCAAAATCCGTGATGACCACTTTACCGTTGTCGTAGAAGACATTCTTTGACTTGAGGTCCTTGTGAAGGATGCCTTTGGCATGGAGGTAGCCCATGCCCTGTAAGAGATGAGGAGACAGGGATTCATTAGAGGCAAACTTTGTACTTCCTTATCACCCCTGGCTGGATCCTCAAGGGTGGCAGAGTGTAGGGTCTACCCATGGAGCTCAGGGGATAAAGGTGTTGTGAGTCACACACCCACCATCACCCATAGACCTCTGAAAAGCTGTATCAATGGAGCCACTCTGCTTCCTGAAGAACAAAGGAAGTGTTCCAGGAGAGAAAGAATGGGAACACCATAAAGGATGAGGATACCAGAGAAAGGAATCCTGCCAGCCATTTTCCTTCATTTCCTTTTCAAAGGGGCTTCGCTGCCTCTGTTACTCAGCCCACAGCCCTGTGGATTCTCAGGGAATCCCACATCAAGGGAACCCCACACAACCTGACATCAAGAACACCCAGGGAAATCCATCAGCAATTTGGAGATTGGTTTTACTTCTTTTTGCCTTGCTGGGCAGTTATCGTGTCTCTATTTACTCATATAGATCATTCCTACCACTTCTTATGGGAACTGAAAGCCTGAATGCAACTCACCAATAAGGTACCCATCGGGAGACCCGGGACATCTTTTCTGATTTCATCTAAGACAACACCCAACAACTCCATGTTTTCCAGGTCATTGAGAGACAACATGGCTGGGTGCTCATGGGAATTCAGGACTGCAGTATAACAGTTCCTAACAGTGATGGTTTGACTCTGAAATGTCCCCCACTGATGTATGTTTTGGATGCTTGACACCTACCCAGCAGTACCTTCTTTTAGAAGGTCTTGGGAGGTGGAGTCTACTGGAGGAAGTAGGTTGCTGTGGGCAGGCTTTGGGGGAATGTTATCACTGCCTATTTCCTGTCTCACTTTCTGCCTCCTGGTCTACCGTGATGTGAATCATCTCTGTCCCAGACTCCTGTCATCATGAACTGGGCTGCTGTGACCCAACTTTCCTCCCTTCAGTTGCTTCTAGCAGAGTGACCCCAGAAGTTTCTGATACTATATCCAAGGGAGCTGAGTGGCTTGTTTGTACCCACTGGTCATTGCCTGTACCCAGGTATCAGGACCATGAGGTGCCATGCAGAAAAAGTTTGAGGCGGTTGTTCCTAAGGGCTGCATCTAGACAGATTTGTTGTACATAACATCCTGGTTTTTCAGACTAAATCTAATGTCTCTGAGGTTCAGACAAAGGGTCTAAACCTAGACCCTGGGTCTTAGGATCCTTTGAAGGGATTACTAGAGGAGGCTGGGTGTTTGTAAGGTCCAGGTAGGGGGCCCCAGAATTCATGGTACCTTGACAATTTCTTGTGCGATCTGCCTGGTTTTGTTGACATCCAGGACAATCTTGGCATCCCTCACCACAGAGTAGAGGGTTCGTCCCTTACAGAGGCTGCAAGGCAAAAGAACAAGGTCACTCAGGGAAATGACTGGCAGTGGTGAGGGAGGTGGGCCACCACAGTCATCAGAAGCCATGAAGACCTAAGAGGATGTGTCACCATGACACCAATGTGACATTAATAGCTCTGGACCCCAGAGCTGGTTCTGGGTGACTATCTGCGAAGAGCTTTTTGTGGATTCTTTAAGAATATCAGATATGTTCTGCTGTGTAGACACCATAAAGATCCAGCCAGGTATGGAAGTGTCTGTGGTGGTTTCAATAAGGACCTCTCAGATATCTGAATGCTTAGTCACTAGGAAGTGGAACTCTTTGACAGCTTTAGAAAGAGTAGGAGGTGTGGCCTTGTTGTTGGAAGTCTGTCACTGGAGGTGGACTTTGAGGTTTTAAAAGCCCATGCCAGCCCCAGCCCCACCCTACCCCCTCTTTGCGTATGGATCAGGATGTAGTTCTCAGCTACCACTCCAGTGCCTGCCTGTGTGCTGCCATGCTCTCCTCCATGATGATGGACTGCACCTCTGAAAGTCTAAGCACAGGCCCAACTAGATGCTTCTCTCGTAACCATTGTCTTGGTCATGGTGTCTCTTCACAGCGACAGAACAGTGAATAAGACAGTGGGCCTGCCATGTCCCTCACCCTGGAGTCTGTGTGTGTGTGTGTGTGTGTGTGTGTGTGTGTATACAGTGCATGCATGTTAATGTGTGTGCAGGCAGTTGCATTTGTGTGTGTGTGACTGTGTGTGTGTGTGTGTGTGTGTGTAGGTGCACATGTAATTGTGTGCACACACATACAGAGACCAGACAACAACTTTGACTGTCATTTCTCAGGTGCCAACCACTTTGTTTTTTGTTTTTGTTTTGTTTTTGAGATAGGATCTCACTAAGTTGAGACTCACTAAGTAGGCAACTGGAAATTCAACCTTTTCTGCCTCCCTGGTGCTGAGATCGTATGCATCTTTTTACTTGATTCTAGGAGACTGAACTCAGGCCCACAAGCTCATAAGACCAGCACTGAACCAAATTAGTCACATCTCCAGTCTCCCTCGCCCTTTTGGAGACAGATTCTCACTATATAGCTCAGGCTATCCTGGAACTCACTACACAGCTCAGGCTGGCCTTGCTCATGGTCCTCCAGCTCAGCCTCCTAGCTGCTGGGACTACAGGCCTGTGCCATAACGCCTGGCTCCCATCCAGTGTCTCAAAGGAGAGGAGTCACAAACCCATAACTTCTGAGCCCTCAGACACCACTCAGACTGCGCTGTCTGCCATATTTCCAGCTGGGAGTCCCTGGGTGGGGACAGGGATGAAGGAGCAGTAAAGCTGTGGCTGCTGTGCACTGTGCATCATCCGCAAATGGTCCATGCAGTCTTTTCACTGGGGGGTGTGCCAAGAGAACAATGCCACCCAATCAGACACCCGTCTGGATGGAGGGCGCTCAACCCATTTGCAGTCTTGTTGCGTTTGCTTCAAGAACTGGTAGTTTAAGATGAATGACGGGATGAAAGGACCTTGTGAGGTGGCAGCAACACCTTTTCACTCCCCAGACTGCCTGTTCCTCCATCACAGCCTTCCTGGTGAGCTCCCCTCCTGACATATACAGAACAGGTGCTGTGAAGAGTCACCAAATGAGTGAGTGAATGAATGGATGGATGAAGGAATGAATTCTATATTCACTAGCGCATCCCCAGCCCCCAGAAGCCAGCATTGCCTAAAAGAAGTATGGAAGTCATTATGATAATTAATTTTCCATCTCTATAAAATTAGCAGCTTGAATGCATTTCTTTTAATTTATAGCCTTATTGTTAAAGTGCTCGGGGCATGCTGTTTCCTCCTCTGGTGTTGGCTCAGCCTTTCTTTCAGGCTGGACTTGTATTCCTGGGGTAGAAGTGAGGGTGCTGGTATTGGAGGAATCCCAGCTCAAATCCCAGCTTGGAGTCTTGCTTACTGTAACATCCTGGGCTGGCATACTCAGTCTCCCTGGTCTAGAGCTTCTTCATGAATCAAAGCAAACCTACTTTGATGTCTGGCAGGGAGGGCCAGCCCCACTGGTTAGGGGACAAGGGTCAGATCCTGATCTGTCTGTCCCAAAATAGCCATATGACCCTGAGTACTCCTGACAGGTAAGTTCACTTCTACATCATAAAATGGGGGTGACACTTCCTGCCTTACCCAAACTCAGGTATGTAAAAACATAGGCACCACTCCCTGCACAACACACAGTAGGTCCCAATAGTCTTTGCAATCAATGAAATGGTGAACATGCAGGTGTGCAAATGGAGAAATGACATATTTCTCTGTGTATCTCTTCTGGCTGCCCATCTGTCTGCCAACCTATCTCTCTAGTGTGTCCATTTGTCTGTCTATCCGTCCATCCATCTATTTGTCATCCCAAATGCTACCTAGAGCCATGATCTTCAATAAGGATTCATTTCTTCACCTGCGCAGGGCGAGGCTCCAAGAGCAGCTGACTCACAGTCGGCTTGATTCACTCCTACAAGGTCGCCCAGCGCACAGGCAGGGGGCCAGTCTAAGATGACTCAAGGCTGCCCCCTCTTTGCAGCACAGCGGCAAGTTGGCCAAGCCTCTGCGACAGAGGTGGAGGAAGGGCCGGCCCAGCAGCCAATTTTTCTCTGTTGACATTTAAGTATCAGAGATGGAAGACAGTGGGTGGATTCCCTCCCCCGGATACCTCATTCCCGAGTGGCCACCTACACTCATTACAGACCGGAGCTCTCTCTGATACACAAGGAAGAGCAAATAATTGCACCGGGCTCCAAGACTCCCAGCATCTATGGCTCCAGGTGACCGTGTGGAACCCCCATCTTTGTTCATATTCCTTCTTGGTCACCATGGAGAATGCCGGATTCCTGCCTTCATGATGTTAAGTTATTTGGGCTGCTGCTGAAGTAGCACCACTTGCCAGAGTGGATATTGGTGCGGCTATGATTTGGTTCACCGACAACTGCCAAATATGTAGACAATGCCTGGATGTGTGCCCAGCAGACACCCATACCCACATTTGCCCTCAAATACAAATTACAGTATCATAAAATTCTAATAGCAGGGCTTCTACCTTTGTCCCAGACTAGGGGCAATCTGTAAGAGCCTAAATAACTGTAGCCTCCCTCTGTCTGGCTCTTACACTGATACCTTGACCTCAATGTGATGGCAGAGAGAGGTGTGAACCAATGGAGGTGCCTGGATGATGAGAGAGGACCCGCAGAGAGGCTCCCCCAGAGAGTTCATTTGGGGACCTTACACCATGTCAGAACACAGTGTGAGGGTGGCAGTCTACAACATCGGGAGCCTTTGCCAAAGCTGGACTGTGCCGGTCTCTTAGTCTCAGACTTCAGCCTCCAGACAGATGACAAAGTTTCTGTTCTTTACAAGTCACCTGGCCCATGGCACCTTGTTATATAGCAGCAGGAGCTAAGAAACAACCCGTGTTCATGAACAGGAACTGGGGACACTATGAATGAGCCGCAGGACAGAGTATAGTCACACCGCACCATGTAAAATAAGCACAACACTGCGGACAACAAAAGGCAGGATAAAGCTCACAGGGTGGGAGCCAGTCTCACGAGACTGCTGGAAGATTCCATCACTACCCTGTATGCTGGAAGCCAGCAGAGTGATGCCAGTGTCTGTGTGTTTGTATGTGTCTTTGAGTGTGTTTGTTTGTCTGTATGTCTGTGTGCATCTCTCTCTCTCTCTCTCTGTGTGTGTGTGTGTGTGTGTATGTGTGTGTGTGTGTGTGTGTGTGTGAGAGAGAGAGAGAGAGAGAGAGAGAGAGATGATGTGGATTGGGAGAAAGACTGTGAGGGGTTGGGGCAGACTGTGCTCCATGTTTGTATCTGAGAGCTGACAACACAGACAGCCACTGTGTTCTACCCTGTTGAGATGGATACTTTTGCAGGTATGCCATCATTTGAAAAAAGAAAACTTAAAAATGTGAGAGAAAATGGGGAGATGGCTAAGTAGGTAAAATGCTTATAAACTCAAGGACCTGAGTCTGATCCGCAAACCTATACTTACAATCCTGATGCTAGGGAAGCAGAGATAGGCGGCCTCCTGAGCTTGTTGGCCAGATAGCCACATCTAATGAAGGAGGCCTAAGCCAATGTCAAAAGAACCAACGTTGACAGCTCCAAGCAAAATTGACCTCTGGGATGGCTGGGATGAGAAAATCCAGTTAGCTCAAATGTCTACAGAAGTGGCTGGCTCTGAGGCCCTAACAGCTGTTTCTGGGGTAGGTGGTGAAAAGAGAAAACATGTGTTTGTTGAGTGCACCCTTGGGTCGAGTGTGACCTCCATGAGACCTCCCAGACTGGCAAGGTCTGTCTGTGTCACCTTCTTGTTTTACAGGACCAGATACAGAGATCCAGGGCAGGAAGACAAACTCCATACACAGCTGTGACATCAACACACACATAGGAAAGACCAACTCACACACACACACACACACACATACACACACACACACAGCCATGATGTCGACACACATATAGGGAACACCAATTCACACCCACAACTGTGATGTCAACACACACATAAACTTCTCACAGCTTTTCTCCCACTAAATGTGTGCACAGTCACTGGAAATGTTTCTAAGCCATTGCAAGGGAAGAGAAGCTGGAAAGCAAACAACATAAACTGACCCCAAATCTCTACCATTATTTACAGTCAGCTTCATGATGTCTGAAGTGACACAAGCCATGGTATCCTCATCTGTACGATGGAGTAAACACATGCTGAGGGCTTTCAATGTAGCCAGCATCTATGTATGCAAGGAGGGGCAGAATCCTCGTGGTGTTTCAAAGGCTCCATGATACACATTCACACTTCTCAGAAAACAAAGTGTATCTTGCAGTGAATCACAGAGCAGGGTACCACCGGTGTTGTTCATCTTTCTTGGTAGCACATAAACAGTGCATGCTCTGATGGAGGGCATCACGAGTCACGGCAATGTTTCAGCTCTCTCTACTTCAAAGATGA